GATGTTCCCATTCCAGCCGGTAGAACAGTGGGCCTTAGAATCCTCTGGAAGCTGGTTAAACATGCACATTCCAGAGCCCTGCCACCCATCCCCACGTCCTGATACCCTAAGTATGGGGAGGAGCCCCAACCTCCCCACCCAGAGTCTGGCATAGAAGGTCCAGGAACCCAGCACTGAGACCTGCTGGGCAGGGCAGAAGCCATTTTGGGGAGGGGGCTGGCGTGGGGCAGGGTGAGGAGGGAGAGCAGGCTCCAGGGTGGGGCCTGTCTGAGGAGGGGGGAAACTTCCAGCAGGCTTGGAGGCCGAGTAGGTAGCAATGATGGAAAAAGGGAAGTCAGAAGTGTAGAAGAGAAAGTGTGGGTGGAGGAAGGGTTGAGGGATGGCAAGAAAATTCAATCAAAAATAAAACTCCTTGTGATTCCGCACCAAGCCAGGCACTGGGTGGGGCGCCTTATGTACATTGTCTCTTTGAATCCTCACAACCATCCTGGGAAGAGGGGATTATTTTGAAACCCACTGTGCAGATGAGGAAACTGAGGCTCAGAGAGGCAAAGGGCCAGAATTCGAACCCTGTCTGCCTAACTCCCAGGCAGTGGCAGACGCCTCCACATCTACAAAAGCAAGAGGGAAGGAGGTGAGGATTTTGTCTACGGCTGGTCCCTTTGGGACTCTGAGCTTTGGGCCTTGGTGATGCTTCCAGGGCCTGGCTGCAACAGGACTGAGCAGTGGCAGGGCGAAGACCTCTGATCCTGGAGGGATGGTAGGGGGACATCAGGCGTGGTTGCCAGGCCTTGGACACTGAACCCGAGGAGGGGGGAGATGTGGCAGAGGGGACAGAGTGTGGCCACTTCCCTTCCCGCCACCGCTGAGAGGATCTGGTGCACAGTTAGGCCCCGGAACGCAGGCTTAGGGTTGGAGAGCATGGTCCAAATTTGGAGATGACTAAGAGGTGGTCCTGGACGCAACAGTGCAGTGAGGGCTGAGGGGGTAGGGAGCAAAAGCAGAACTCTGCAGGGCCACAGGCTTTCAGCCTGGGAAACTTCCTGGCGTCGGGGTGGTGGGGGCTTGTCAAGTGATTCTTGACCTCATCTGGCCGGTCACCTCCTGGGCAAGGCTGAAGGCCATCTTCTTAGTCCCTCTCCCA